AACTGAGGGAGTAGCGCCTCTCCTGCTGGTCATCTGAGCGTTTTGGCGAGAAACCGCCAGAAGGAGGAGGGGTGCGCCTAGTCTAGTAGAAAGTTTGGAAATCTTTTCTGTGGCTGGCCTGCAACTGCACAGTCCCATGTGGGACTGCACAGAAACCACAACGATGAAGATCCAGGTTCAAATCCTCGTTCTGCCATGCGACCTTTGCTGGGTGACTGTCATGATCTGTGTAGGACTGGGAGACGGGGCCTGGTGCAGCCTGGTCCCAGGAAAGACCTGCATGGCAGTGGAAAGCAGACATAGCCTACAATCCCCATAAGGCTTATCAGTGTTTATAGCCAATCAGTGTCCAGGAATTCTCTGAGGTGACTGTTACATTGTGGGCTGTGGAAAATGGTGTTCTTTCCTCTCACAGAACTAAACTGAGGGGGACTGTGTTCTTTTGCTCTTCTGCAATCTTGTCTCACAGAGGGGACAGTCTGGTCTGAGGAGAAAGATCCCTCACTTGGCTTAGAGTGAGTGCAGGCAGGAGGCCTGGTATAAGAAGGCTGTGGGCTTTGAAACAGTAACTAGTTAAGTGAAATAGGTAGTCGTGTTAGATTCGTTTATTTTGCCTTTAAACACTGTTATATATTTTAAAGCACCTTGTCTTGTGTTCCTTGCCCCAGTACTGTCTTAATAAACCATTTGTTTAAGTGTTCTCTGCCTGGTCATCATGCCTATGTTCTCGGCTTAAAAGGGGGCATTTTGGATGGGCTTGTGAGGGTACTCTGGGCCTTCTCAAGGGACCCAAAGTCCAGAGTGGTGGCAGCTGGAGGTGGCAACCCCCTGGGGGTCATGACAGTGATCTTGGGCAAATCACACACTCTCAGCCTAACCTACCTCAAATGGTTGAGAGGAAGGTGATGAAAGCCTCTTTGGGTCCCCACTGGGAAGAAAGGCAGGGTATAAATGAAGTAAATAATATAAAAAACCTGTTCTTATTCCAATGCAGAATTTTATGCATGTAACATCATTATGCATGGTGTTTTCTATAGCAGTACAAAATTATTCAAACAGTAAGAAATATATTAACATCTCTGAATCTCTCTATAGCCCATTTAGTCTTTCCCAAACTCCCTTTTTAGCACAGACACAGAAGTTTAGAAAACTTAGTAATTCTCTTGAGTGAACCATTATGACATTCTTATACAGCCCTAAGGAGATGGACATTATCAATAAGTTAAGATACCTTCAGCTTTGCCTCAGGATGTTCATATGCCTGAAGCATTTTATCCCCTCATGGTAATACAGTATTTGTTTTTGTCAGATTTCTTAGATTGTCATTTTAATTTGTTCTATTTCCTTGGAGTTCTAGCACATTTTCTTCTGATATTTACCTTCTCATACATGTAAACAACTGTGTGCATATGTGTGTGTGTGTACAAGCATACACACACACACACACCTTTAAATTGACACTACAAAGCAGGCCTCAAAAATTTATAAGACATAACACTAATTAGTGCAACCTGAAGACTGAAATCCAAAATACCTTAATGCATTGGTCATAGAATTTGATACAATTTAATAAAGCAAATCTGAAGCAAGCGGTTTACAGACCATATCTTAATAAAATATTAGTGATTACAATTTTTATACAGTAAATAATTTGTTATATAAAAATACCAGGTTGGACAACAGGATTTTGTTTTGCTATGTGAAATGTTTTCTCTAATGAAACAGAGCTTTCTTCAGAGGAAACCTTCCTCTTATGTTTCTGCTTGGGAATAATGAGAATTGTATATTGCATTCATTGAAATACAAAGAAGGGTTAGTGGTCATAACCGAATAGAGTGTGTAGACACTTATCCAACAGATTGTTCATAACAATTAAGTATATTTAACAAAAATACCAGAGTTTCATGCTTGGTGTAGAAAATAATAACAGAGCATCTGTTTTAACTCATTATTCTTGGTATCCAGCCAGAAGTGTAAAGCTGAGAGTATAAGCTGAGGTCAAGAAACTAGCAAGAAGATATACTGAATGCTTGAATTGTATGGATCTTGACATCCTTCCCCAACATGATCTTTTAATTGGCAGCCTAGTTAATGGCAAAAGAACTGGGTTCTCAAGTCCTAAACCAGGGGTGGCCAAACTTGCTTAATGTAAGAGCCACATAGAATGAATGTTAGAAGTTTATGAGCTGCAAAACATGAAAAAATATTACACACATGTTTTTATTGGAAAACATGCAAATTTGCTTTTTATTAACATTAAATGAGACTGCCCAAAATAAAAACAAAAGGGGTAAAAACAGATACTGATAATGATATTTATTTGTTTTCTAATGATATTTATTTGTCTGAGAGAAAGAGAGGTGGAAAGAAAGAGAGAAAGAAAAACAAAGAAAGCAAATAGATGGGGGGAGGGCAGGGAGAGGTGGAAAGAAAGCAATTTTAACTTTAAATGCATCCTCCAAGTCCCCCACACTAGTTGGCTTGGCTTGGAGAAGGTATTTAATGAGGCAAATACCTTCTCCAAGCCAGCTGGCAGGGGTGGGGCTTTGAGAACACATTTAAAGTTGCTTTCTTTCTCTGCTCCCCCCCCCCACCTCAAGCTTACCCAGAGAGGGGAACACTGGCTGGGGAAGGGAAGACCAATCAGGGAGGCATGCCTCCCCTTCGCTTCCCCAGCTGCCCTACCGGGAGGCACACAATATGTGTGAAAGAGCCGCATGTGGCTCCTGAGCCACAGTTTGGCCACCCCTGTCCTAAACCAACCAAGCTAAACAGTGGCTTTCCTGTTGCTTTATCTGTGCGTTTATTCATAAGTTTTCTTTGCATGTGTATTTCAGCATGTCATTTGTGCAAAATCTTCATTTTCCAGACATTGGCTTAGTTCTAATTTGTTAATCAGTTCATTGTATGACTGTGTGACCATCAGCTGATGCCTGAAAACACTTTGTCATTGAAAGAATAACAGTAAACTGTTACTGATAGAGCTGCTTTACTAAATTGAGAACTCAAACTATTGAAGACATAATTATTCTGATCCTTAACCGTGTTTAAGGAAATATGTTTGCCTCTAGCCATCTATACATTTAATTGTAGCTCAGTTTACAGATGTACAAATCTGTCACAGGCTAAGTGCTGTTCTATATCTTCTATGCTTAGTTGGGAGTGGGAGTTCTGGAACTCATTCTGGAAATACTTAAGGAGCATATCAGTTTGACCAGTAAAGTTTTACTTGCTTTTCTTGATCTAATCTCTTAAAATTAGAAAAGTTTGTATTTGTGTTAGAACAAAGGAATATAAGTTTTGGGCCAGATTTTCTTCCTCTTATTTATTTATTTATTTTCACATTTATATCCCACCCATCCCATAAACGGGCTCAGGGCGGGTTACAACATTTTAATAAATATAATAAAATTTAAAACACATTAAAAGATATAAAATCAGTAATGCTTGCCGTAGGAAGAATCTGGCCCATTGATGTACTGGGTATGGCCGGTTATCAGTAGGTGGGAGATTGCAACCTCGGGGGGCCATATGTGGACGCCCGCTGCCTCAGCCAAAGGCCTGGTGGAACAGCTCCGTCTTGCAGGCTCTGCAGAATTGCATAAGAAATCAGGGCCCTGATTTCAATAGGGAGCATGTTCCACCAGGTGGGGGCCAGGGCAGAAAAAGCCCTCGCCGAGGCTAGGCGGATGTCCTTTGGACCAGGGATCACCAGGAAATGTTGACTCTCAGAGCGTAATGCTCTCCAAGACATATATGGGAAAAGGCGGTCCCTTAGGTATTGCGGTCGCAAGCCGTATAAGGCTTTAAAGGTAATTACTAACACCTTGAAGCGAATCTGGTACTCAACCGGCAACCAATGCAGCTGACAGAGCACATGCTGAACGTGGGCCTGCACAGGTGTCGACGTCAGCAGGCGTGCTGCCGCATTTTGTACCAGCTGTAATTTCCGGATCAGCAGCTTTCAACATTGGGCTCCAAAGACGTAAGTCTGAGAGGTAGAAATTAGGAATTGGGGAGAGCCTCTGGGGTTGGCTGCCTTCCTGTGCCAAGTTCACCCGGAACGCCCCTCTAGGCTTGCCAAGTCCCCCCGGGGACGGGGAAACCCCCGCCCCAGAGGCCCGTTCCCCACTGCTGGCGGATCGGGCCCCGGGGGAAACCCCACCCTGACGTGCGTGTCACCTGGAAGTGACGCGACCATGCCGGTGCCCGCTGGGGCGGGGCCATAGAGTTTTCCCTCGGATGGTCGTGGCCCCACCCCAGTGTGCCCAGCGTCGTCACATCACTTCTGGGTGATGTGCGTGCGGTGCGCGTGCGCTTCAGACGCCAGACGGGAGTCCCCCACTTCGGAGGAATTTACACTTGGCAACCCTACTCCTCCCTCACTGATATCATCAGACGAAAGGTTTCAGCCGGAGGTCCTCTAGGTGCTGACAAGGCACTCAGCAACTTCCACAGAGCTGCACCAACTCCAGCAGCTGCACCAGCTCCAGCAGATGAAAAGCCGCCCTCAGGAAGCTGCCAGTCAGCAGGAGAAGCAGGAAACTCCGCGGTTGTGTGAGTCGTACAGGTGCAGTCCAGGCCACTCACTGCCACCCGCCAAGTGGAAGTGAGACAGTAATTTTGAGCACATATTGTTGTGAATTGTGGATGATCTTCCCCTTGGTGGGTGTTGTTTGTGGATATACTTGTATGCTAAGGGTTCCCTACTGTCTTTGGCACATCATAGGACACAAGGCAGCATTACACAGGGGGCCTAGGAAATCTTTCATCCAGGTAATGACCAGACCTATACATGCTTAGCTTTACCATGGTTGATATATCATATGTCCTTCAACCATACACTGGGATATACATGTAAGAGTTTGTTTAACCCCATTCCAGCAACTCAAGTCCACGAGTGGAATCTGTTTCTGATTTTGAATTACTGTTACGGGATTAGAGCCATGTTAATAAAAAAAGCTTCTCAGATATTTAGTATAATATATCACTACACTGACCTGCTAAATGCAGAAACAGAAATTGCTCCTCTGTTCCCAGTCCAAGATAAATTCAGCCACTGGACAAGGACACAGCGACGCTGTAGGTACTCCAAAGCTGTGTCATTTATCTTTGCCCAATAAGGTTGCAGACTGAGGTGAATGTACTGTAGAGGATCACAGCAATGCTGATAGAGTAGCTTACACGTTTGAGATAGACTACATAGATCTGGAACTGTAAGGTGACTCAAAATCAACTGGATGAGCTACATTGGGGAGGAAAAAAACAGAAAAGCACATCACACCAACTGTTACCCATCTGTAAATAGCTTAACTCCAGTTAAGTTAAATTTGATCAATTCATTGACCTCTACCATTTTCCATTACTTCACTGATTTTTAAAAAATTGAATACACTTTGGAAAACTATACAGGATATATCTGAGGAAGTTTGCATGCATACGAAAGCTTATACTGTGAATAAAACATTGTTGGTCTTAAAGGTGCCACTGGACTCAAACTTTGTTCTGCTTCAGACCAACACGTCTATCCAACCTGAATCTATGTACAGGATACTTTTTGTTTTAATATTCCCAGTCATTCGTCTATTTACCTTTTGTTTCCCCCCCCCCCTTTGGCTAAACATTCCTTTTGGGTCTTTTAATAAAGAGAAATTAAATTTCATTTACAACTCTGGTTTTCTATTTTAACATTAGATGACTAAAAGTGTTTTCACTCCAAAGTTTTTTTCAATCCAAACTTATCATCTAAATCTTTTTGCCCTCATACAGGTCTTCAAACTTGCACATACACAAATGCAGCTATTTTTATACAGTTATTCATATTGGTAATTACTTTATTGACATTACAGGTACTTAAGTCCCAATGGGAAAGCTAAGCACATGTAATTAAAGACATGCTTAACTCTTCCCACTAAAGTTAATGAGGCATAGAAATGCTTCGTTTTGTGGCTTTATTGTGCCTACTGTGAATACTGAATGCATACAAAAGTACAGTTCAGAAAAGTACAGTAGTTTAGAAAAGAACTTCGGGACCAACACACCCAAAGGACCACCAATTCCCTTATGAAGCTACCCAGCCACTATGGTCATCTTCAGAGGCCCTGCTTGGGGTGCCCCTGCCTTCTGAGATTTGATGGGTGGCAACTCTCCCCAGTGAGACTCATCTGTCCCTTCTGTTGCCCTCTTCCACCTGCAATCCCTCCTTCCTGCCCAATGTTTTAAATGTTGTTTTTATGCTTCCATATGTATTTTAGCTCTAGTTCTAATTGTTTTAACAATGTATTGGAGGGTTGGGGAGCCTGGTTTTAACGTATGATTTTATTATGTATGTTTTAATTTGTTAGCCCTTGTGAGGGCAGAAAGACAGAGGAGAAACATTGTTAAATAAATAAATAAAAATATTATTCCTGCTTGACAGAGCTCTGCAAATTGTTTCAGCAGAAAAACAGGTTGCTTACCTGTAACTGATGATTTTCAAGTGATCATCTGTGCAGTCACACATTTGGGTAAAGTGCCTGCACAGGACCCGACCTCAGAAGTTTCTAGAGCTAATCTTCATTGCTTTTTGGCACAATTCTTCCTCGGCTCTGGGGAGCAGGCATTGACTGCATATGCCTGGAGCTGAGGAGAAAGCTGCCTCTTGCTCAGTTCCCTCCATCTGCCACCGGTAAGTCCCATCAGCTTAAGGTAAGTGACAGAGAGATGCCAGCTGTGGGGAAGGATGGGATGATGTGTGACTGCACAGATGATCACTTTTTATGCTTTATTAATACAGTCATTGAACAGCATAAATCATATAGTACCATTCACGAGAAAATCTTATGCACAACATATACACAGTAATATTTAAAAGTTTAAAACAGTTAAAATTCTGGTATACTTCGTAATATCTCTTGGTGTAATTTATATGCAACTGAATAGAATCTCGAACTGGGAGCTGTATCTGTTGGGTTGTCACCCATGAGAAGCATTTTGCAAAGCTCTGTATCAGAGCAACCCAGATATTTCTTAAGAAGGGGGGAAATAATCTTTATACGGATTTCATGATAAAAACAGCAATGTAATAATACATGCTCAATTGTTTTAACCTCACAAACCCTCTCATGCATGGGAATCTTTTTAAACCACCCTTCTAACACTGCAGTGGGGAATTCTCACCATCTGGTTAGAGAAAACACCTTCCTTTGGCCCAGAATCTCCAACTGAGAAAGGGGTACATTGCTGGTGCTACCTTATATTTTGTGTGATCTCAGGCCAAAAATTCTGGTGCTTTATTAATATCATAATGTCGTTGACTATCCAGCATCCTTTGTTTGAGTACTGCCTTTGCTTGATCAAAGTTCATTTCTAAGACAGTATGTGGAGACAGGCCTAAATTCCTTATCCTACGATGCACAGCCTTTAACCAGGAAGATTTAAATCGCTAAGGATTAGCGGTGTTAGACCATGAGGAATAAGGTTAACTTAAGCCAACAATTTATTGAGGTAAGGCATACCCTCGACTCCATTTTAATAAAGCCAGATTCCTGGCATAAGCTTGTGTTTGAAATGCAGTTGGTGATCTGAAAAGCTGCTCTTAAAAACTTCGATTGAACATGCTCTAGTGGGGTGAAGCATGAAGATGGTGGACCTATTATTGTCCCATACAAAAGTTGAGACAATATTTTGGCCTGAAACAGTTTAAGGGCTGCTGGCAAATATTGCCCTCCCTTGGTGTGTAAGAATTTAATTATGGCCTGGGCAGATTTTTGTCCTAAATTGGCCATCTGTTCGTGATGAGCCATTCTTGCACCAGTCGATTGTAATACCACCCCCAGGTATTTGAATATTGCGACCTGCTCGATCCTATGCCCATTGATACTCCAAAGCCTTCTTTTAGTTCTTTTGCCAAAGGACATAATTTTAGTTTTTTGATAGTTAATCGCTAACTGGTTCTTGGTACAAAACTGATTAAATGCCTTTCAGGTTCTTCTTAGCCCCACAGGAGTCCTAGAGAGCATAACCATATCGTCTGCATAAACTAATGCAGGGATATTCTGTTCAGCCAGCGTGGGGGGTGTGAAAATCAGAATTTTTAAAGTTGCTGGTCATGTTATTAATATAAAAAATAAACAACAATGGGACCAGTACACATCCCTGTTTCACACCTTTTGTTGTTAAAATGGAGTTTGAGAGGTGCCCTCTCCTATTACATCTAACCTTAAATGACGTGTTAGAGTATAAGGCTCAGATTAAATATAGAAGCCTTCGGTCTATAGGTGTAGCTTCTAATTTCTCCCATAATTTAGACCCTTTTAAGATCAATAAATGCTGCATATAATGACACAGAACTATTAGTAGCATATTTTTCGATCAAATGCTGCACAATCAATCCATGACCAAGGGTGGATCTTCCCTACCTAAAACCTGCTTGCTCTTCGGCAAGTAAATTTTCCTGTTCGATCCAGCTCTTAAATTTGTCTACTGGGTGGCTGGCATAAAGTTTGCTGATTATACTGAGCAGACTGATTGGTCTGTATTTAGCTGGATTGTCTCTCCTTCCTTTCTTAAAAAATGGAATTACAATCCCTTGTCCCCACTCCTTTGGAATGCGCCCTGTGGAATTGATGTAAATAAAAAGTGAGGCCAGGAGTGGAGCCCACCATTCAATGTTGTTTTTTAGGAGTTCAGGAGGAATGATGTCATTGCCTGGTGCTTTTCCTCTTTCAAGCTGATTAATAAGCGATGTAGCTTCTTTTACAGATACCGGAGGACATTCAGGTAACTTTTCAATAATTTGTGGAGAGGATTTTTGAGGGGTATCAGTATATATCTTACGAAAGTATGCTTCCCAGGTTTCCGCCATAATCGTTGACTCTAAAGGGAAGGTGTCCTTTAATGCGTATTTAGAAGTTATCTTCTAAAAGGTTGTAGAATCTTTTTCTTTGGCAGCCTGTATTAAACACTCCCATGTCATTCTTGTATAAGCTTTCTTCTTCTGGGCCAGTATTTGTTTGTAAGATTTCTTTAATGTTATGTAATGATGATGAAGTCTCGAGCTGTCAGATTCTAACACTTTTTCATCTGCCAGTGTCTCTTTCATTTTTTGATCAAGTTGGATTGTCCATTTGGCCCAACAGCCCTCTCATACAGTTGGTGTGATTTCTGCCCTTGAATGGATTTTAAGGTATATTTCTTGTGCCAGTGGTATCATGCGTAGGAGGAAAGGCAGGTGGTCTCCCTCCAATTCAGGGAGAACCTGAAAGGTTTTCACTGGCTAAGATGTAATCGATATAACTACACCTTGTTCCTGCCATGTAAGTAAAATCTCCTGGATGGTCTCCAGGTGTAGATCCATTTAGGATGAAAAGATTTAATTTTTTAGTCATTCTTGCAAGACAGGAGCCGGTGTAGTTTACCTTGCTGTCTTTGGAAATATGTGGATAAAAGGTGTGGGTTTGCTTTCATGAACATTATATTTAGTATAAAGTGAATGTTCATTTGGACAGATTCTGGCATTAAAGTCCCCTCCTATGAGATACTTGTCCACAGGGTTCTCTAGTAAAAGATCCTCGATAGCTTTCCAAGCCTGTCCAGGTCGCTGTAATATTCTCTTTTCTTTGTTGGGGAGGAAGATAAATATTGACCACAAGAATAATTTCAGAGTCTAATTGAAGAAGGATGGCCATAGCCTGTTGTTTCAAAGTAGGTAATGCTGTACACCTTGCTCCTAGGGAGGTAGACACTAATGCACCCATGCCTCCCTTATGCCTCCCAGGTCCTGTACTTGGTGTTGCTCCAATATTAAAAGAGTGGTAGCTTTCGATCGTAAGTTCATGCACTGTCCAGTTCTCTTGGATCAAAATTATGTCATAGTTCTGTTGGAAAAAAGAGCAGATTTGTCTTTGGCAGTGGGTCCATCCTGCTATATTCCAAGATATTACTTCCAGAGGTTTTATTTTATCTGGATTATGCTGGTCTAATTACCATCATGCTTCCTGCATTACGCTCTGTGGTTGTTTCATTACATTGTTATCCCTGTTCATTGGAGTATCATCGACTATCATGCAAAATTCTGGATCGTTTTGCGAGATGATCAAGTTTGATTTGATATTCCCTTTATTTATTATTACAGTTGGTTCCAAAGGAGGTCTGTTTTCCCTAGATGGGGAGGGCTCCAGTTCCTTCATGCTCTTCTTCTGATTTTGGGGGGCATCAAAACATTGGCACTCCCTAGGGAGGGAGGTCTGCTTGATATTCTTTAGA